GGCAGCGCCAGCCACACGGAACGCCTCCCCCACACGGTGCCGCACATAGAGCCGTGCCTTCTCTGCGCCCTCCAGCGCGGCAGGGATGTAAATGCTGGGGTAGAGGGCACGGCTCCTGTTCCACAGCCATCCTAGCTGGTCGTTCTGGGCATGGACGTCCGGTGGGCATTGGCCTGTGTAGTTGGAGCTTAGAAAGTCATGATTGTAGCAGTCGGGAAAGCCGTAGAAGCCCCAGAGGCCACGAGGACGCAGTGCCTGCCCCAGCTGGAGGGTGCCCGCCATCCAGGCCTGTGCAGCGCTCTGGAACTGGACCTCGGCTACTGCCTCCACCTGAGGAGCCTGCCAGTGGGGGTGCCGCGCCTGCACCAGTTCGCGGGAACGCTGCCGGTAAATGTCCTTGGAATCCCAGTTGAAGGCCCAGCGTGGGCGCCATGCCTCCCAGTCAATGACTGCCAGCCCTGCGAAGTCGGGTTCATCTATGGTGGCCAGGACGTCCTGGAATGTACGAGCCAGGTGGGTTTCCAAGCTGGCGTTCTGAGGCAGGCCACCAAACACGGGCTCCCCAGCAGCCGTATAGTAGGGGTACGTGCCCAACTCGGAGCTGTAGAAAATGGTCATGTCAGGGCCATGGAAGGTCTGCCCCGGGTTGACGACCACATCGAAGACACTGACGTCCACGTCCACACCGTGGCTGTCCAGGCACCACTGGGTGTTTGCGTTCCAGATGGTGGTGAAGGGTTGGCTGGGTACCACGGGAACTGTGAAGCCTCGAGCCGTGTGGAGCAGGGTCATGGTGAGGGCGCAGATCCAAAGCAGGAGGGCTGCCATGGCTCAGAGCAGGTCTCGGGGAACCTGGCCAGGGGAGGCAGGGCTGGTATAGTGGCCCAGGCTTCGGACCGTCTGAGCCCTGCTCAAGGTGGGCGGCTGAGCCCCTTGCTCACAGGTCCACCCCACTTCCTGTTTCATTAAACATTGACCTGCAGGGCTCAGGAGGGCAGAGGGCAGAGGAGAGGCGTGGAGGGGAGCACAGGCACTGCAGAGCACATCCCAGCTGCCAGGCCTCTGCCATCTGCATCACGTGAGCTGGGCCCTGGCCCAAACTTGCCGGCACCCTCCCCCCCCTTCTTCCTCAGGGGCCACTGAAGCCGTGACTGCTCTTCTGGGAAGGGTAGTGAAGAGCCAGGCCTCCTCCCCAGGCTGACCAGACTGAGTCGGGGGAGGGGTTCCTGTCTCTGCCACTAGAAATCTTGGCCAGCCATTGGAGCAAGAAATATCAGCGACAAGAACAGGTCAGCCAGCCCTCCTGTACCCCTGCCAGTCTGCCCGCTCATCCCTGCTGACCTCAGGGCTGAAGGCCTCCAGACTTCCTGACCCAGGGCGGGGGCCTAGACAGGACCTGGCCAGATTCTGCTCCTCCAGTGAGGTCTCAGAGGCACCATGGACTCCTAGAGGAAGAGGCTGGAAACTGCTTTTGTAGGGGTCACCCCACCCAGTCCAGGGGCGGGCAAAGGGGTGGGCCCTGGATTGGGAGTCCAGGCCAGAACGCAGAGCAACCTCCACACCCCCAGGAGTGTCCTTAGTGGGGTGGGGCTGGGTCAGCAGCGCCCCTCCCACTTCATAAGCACTAGGGCAGGGCTTTGTGGCTTTCCCGGGGCTGGAAGGGTGGGCGGGGCGGACCCAGTTGGGCAGACTTATTTGCAGCGCTGGCCTCTGGGTGTCTCAGGGCTGCAAACTCAGCCTGGGCTTTCCCTGGGGACTACATTATGACATGGGTGGGCCTTAGATGCTGTGGCCTTTGTGGACCTCTTCCTCCTTAAAACATTTTAAAAAATATGTACAACTATGTTGATATAAAGACAAATATGGTCTGGACTGGGTTTGTTACATATTTTACATTTTGCCAGAGGGCGTGTGCATTTTCCAGAGAGAGATTGAGAGAAAGAGGAAACAGAGAAAGTACTTCGTGGGGCACCGTCATACCACAATCCCCTCCTCCATAGCTCCCTCCTTTAGGGATTTAGGGCTCGCACACACACAACCTGCATGTTTTTCTTTTTCTTGTATCATTTTGAGAGATTTTGCTATATGGCATGTGTGCTTGCTGGAGAGACAGAGAGACAGAAAGTGAGAAATCACCCCCAGGGTGGATGGTCACACCATAATCCCTTCTCCTCCCAAGTACTTGGACATGCATGCACATGTGCCCTGTGTGAGTTTTAAGGCGCTGGGTCTGGGGCTCGAACCGTGGTCAGCTATGTAGAAGTCCAGAGATGTAACCATTACACCATCTGCTTGTCCCACCTGTGAGTTTTTCTTTTTCTTTTAAAGAATTTAATTTTATTTATTCATTTTATTTTAATTTGACCAGAGAGAGAGAAAGAGAGAGAGGGAAAGTGAGAAAGCAAGCCACTGGGTCAGGGACTCGAACCATGGTCGACCATGTGGGAGTATCCAGCGCCTTAACCACACCACCTGCTGGTCCCCCTGTGTTTTTTGTCACCAGGTCTGGGATTCGAACCATGTGGTCAGTCATTGGTCAGTCATGTGGGATCTAACAACCTTTTTTTTTTTTTTGGAGAGGTTTTCGCTATAGGGTGGGTGTGCATGGCAGACAGACAGAGAGAGACATAGAGACAGAAAGCAAGAAATCACCCCCCAGGGGGGATGGTCACGCCGCATTCCCTTCTCCTCCATTCTCCTCTCGGGATCTTGGGCACGCACGCAAACGCGTCCGGCGTGAGTTTTAAGCCACCGGGTCCGGGATTTGAACCGTGGTCTACTACGTGGGAGTCCAGCGACATAGCCATTACGCTAATTGCTGGTTCCTGAGATCTAACGATCTTAATCCCCACACTACCAGCTGTACTATATGTTATTAAAAAATAAATACTTTTGTCTTCCAGTTTTTAAAAAAGTCTTAACTGGTACTGTGGCCCTGTGCCCATCGTTCCTAGTGGGGTACGTCAGCACTGCTTTGGGGTCTGTTTCTCAAAGGCCCTGTGTTCCTGACGCCGGGCTGTGTCATCACCCTTTGTGCACGTGCTGGGCCTGTGATTGTGTCTTTGTGAAGCCCCGGTTAGTAACCATCTGGGCCTCTGCACAAGTTCCAGGGGCATGTACGTGTGAATGTGGGGCCCGGTGCCTGGGACTGGGTGTGTGTGAGACCCTGCTGTCTCGGGGCGACGAGCCCCATGTCTGCACGACTCAGGTCTGACACATGCTGTCTGCTCCTCCGCAGCTGCACTTGTCGGCTGACTAAGAAGCTGGTTGCTGAGACTTGCTGGGAGCTCAGGCCCAGGCTTGCCTGCCGTGGTGGGTGAAGCTGCTGCCCGGGTCTGCAGCCTAGACGGGCCCTGAGCCACTGAACCCTATGGTACAGTGGCCCCGGGAGCAATGACAGCTGGCTAGCACCTGGGCTTGGTCCTCCAGGCTGGCTAGGATGGAGAAGCTGGCAGGGCTAAGGATGCTGGAGACTAGGCACGGCAGCCAAGCCCCGTGCCCAGGACTGAGCCACAGAGGCAGTGGTGCTGATTGTGTTCAGGAAGCAGGGTCCTAGAGTGATGACCGTCTGGGCCCAGGGAATCTGGCACAATTCTCAAGGGCCGAAGGGGCAGGAGAACATCGAGGCAGTTCCTCACCCCCTTGCACGGGCTCCCTGTGCCCCTGGAAACTTGGTGCTGTGGCTGGCACCAGCCAGGAGGCCAGCATTCTCCAGCTGGCCTCTGCCCAAGGGAGCTGCTCTGAGGGAAGAGCAGAAAGGAGCCGGTTGCCCGAGGCCTTCTCCCACCCCAGGGCCCTGGCCCTAGCCTGCTCCTGCCAGCTGGTCCTGTTGGGTCTTTTCCAGCAGAGCGTGTGTCTGCCCATTCTGGTGGTCTAGCCTGCCCACCGTCTGGCTCTGCAGAGTCCAGGCCTCTGAGCACCTTGTTCCTCATTACCTGGGCCTATTCGTTTTTTTTTAATCTTTTTTTTTTTTTTTTGAGAGTTTTTTGCTATAGGGCCCGTGCGCTCGCCAGAAAGACAGAGACAGAGAGACAGAAAGTGAGAAATCACCCCCCAGGGGGGATGGCCACGCTGCAATCCCTTCTCCTCCATTCTCCTCTCGGGATCTTGGGCACGCATGCACATGCACCTGACGTGAGTTTAAGCCACTGGGTCTGGGACACGAACCACGGTCGACTATGTGGGAGTCCAGCGACATAGCCATTGCACTAACTGCTGGCCCCAACCTGGACCTATTCCTGTCCCTCACCCACAGGACCTCTGGCTGTCCCTGAGCTGCACTTCCCCTGGAACTGTCTTCCTAGGGAAATGACCTGAGATAGACAGGGGTTTGTATGGGGCCGTGGCAGATGTTTAGGGATGGTAACAGCAAGAAGGGCCTCAACTGTGGGGGGTTACAGGTGCACAGAAGTGGGAAAGGCAGCGCCATGTGGGTCTGGATCGCTGAGCTGGGCAGTCACAGGTGTGGGTGGGGAGGTTCACAGGTATGCAGGGACCCATCTGTGTGGTCACAGGTGTGGGTGGGGTGACTCACAGGTGTGAATGAATCCATGTGTAATCATAGATGTGGGTGGGGTGGCTCACAGGTGCACACAGGTCCATGTGTGGGGAGGTCACAGGTGTGGGTGGGGTGGCTCACAGGTGCACACAGGTCCATGTGGGGAGGTCACAGGTGTGGGTGGGGTGGCTCACAGGTACACACTGGTCCATGTGGGGAGGCCACAGGTCTGGGGAGAAAGGTCACAATTCCTCCTTCCTGGCCCGCCCTCCCCTTCCTCAGTCTTCCTGACCAGCATGTGTGTCTCCTCCCTGGCCTGGCCTCTCCCCACCATGTCCACATGCCCCTTTGCCATGTGAACTCACCACCTCACCTCCGAGTGCTGCCGCCCGCCCTGCTGTCTACTCTTTGCCCATAGACAGCAGGGGGCACGAGGGGGTGTCTCTCGAGTTGTCCTCTGGCCAGGTCTGTCTCTCCAGCTCTGCATCCCTCCACACACACCCCTGGTCTGTGCGGCCACTCGGGCCACTCTCCCGTCAGTCACCTGCTTGAGCTCAGTGTCTCCCTTCACCTTGTCACCCCACGCTGTCAGTGTGACTCAGAGTGTGAACCCAGCACCCACCCAGCGCTTGTATGTGTGCTGGGTGACCGTCACCACCACCAGGAATCAGGCCTGGGGCTCCTCTAGGGCAACCCTGCTGTCTCTGCTGCCCCAGGCCCTGAGCCATGCTCAGCCTCCAACTCCATGTGCCAGGACGCTCCAGTGTCACCACCTTTGTTCCTTGTCATTGTGCTGCCCTTCAGTTTTCAAGACTCCATGTGGAAGCTCCTGGAGCCCCACCATCAGTTCTGAGGCCGGGGCCGTGTGGCAGCCGAGGACAGGGGTAGGGACGCAGCACAGGGCTGCTCTGAGTACTCCCTGCCACTTTCTCCTCTGGGCAGCGGGAGTGGCCATGTTCTGCTGCCAGGCTCAGCGAGCTTCCCCAGGCCCACCGTACATCTCCGCGGTGGGACCGGGGCCAAAGCTCACGAGTCAGCTCCCAATTCCCTGCCTCCCCGCCCCGCAGATTGCCGGCAGGGCTGTGACCCACACAGGAAGAGGTGTGCCCACTGCCCTGGGGGCCGGGAGTGGATGCCCGCATCTGAGGGAACAGCAGGGACGATCCAACATGGCAGGGGGGTGAGGAGGCTGGTACTGGCCCAGCACGAGGAGCCCCATCCTTCACACAGGTTGGGCGCAGCTCCCTTGACCATCAGTGCTGAGGCCGGGGCCGTGGGGCAGCCGAGGACAGGGGTAGGGACGCAGCACAGGGCTGCTCTGAGTACTCCCTGCCACTTTCTCCTCTGGGCAGCGGGAGTGGCCATGTTCTGCTGCCAGGCTCAGCGAGCTTCCCCAGGCCCACCGTACATCTCCGCGGTGGGACCGGGGCCAAAGCTCACGAGTCAGCTCCCAATTCCCTGCCTCCCCGCCCCGCAGATTGCCGGCAGGGCTGTGACCCACACAGGAAGAGGTGTGCCCACTGCCCTGGGGGCCGGGAGTGGATGCCCGCATCTGAGGGAACAGCAGGGACGATCCAACATGGCAGGGGGGGGAGGAGGCTGGTACTGGCCCAGCACGAGGAGCCCCATCCTTCACACAGGTTGGGCGCAGCTCCCTTGTGACCTATGGGGAAAGCTGGTCCTTGGTGTGAGTGCAGCATGGGTCCCTCCACCCCCAGGCCCCTGCCCAGCAGGAGAGCCACAGTAGGCAGCTTTGGGCCCCCCAAGTCTTGGAGAGCACATTTTATAGAGGAGAGGTCCCCAGAAGAGGGTTTCTAGAACAGCCCAGCTCCAACTTCATAGGAGATCCTGAGAGCTCTCTAACCTGCCCCTGGTCCAGTGCAAAAAGTCCAAGCACAGAAACAGCTGTTTTATATTTAATTTACAAAAGAGACCCCATAATAATAATAATAATAAACTATCCAGGGGCGGGGGAGTAGGGTCAGGCCCTCCCCAGCCCAGCCTCCTTCCCTTCTGGCTGGGAGGAACAGGGCCTCCACAGGGACTTCTCCCCCTTAGAACAGGGGGGTGAGAGCCGGTATGGATGCTCTGCCAGGCACCCGGGGGCTCTGCCCCCTTCCAGGCTCCAGTTTGCCCACCCCCTTCTGGCTCCTACATGCCCGGGAGAGCCCCCGGAGCAGCGGCCAGACCGCTTGGCTGCAGGTGGGAGACCCCTATGAGGTTCGGGTGAGGGTCAGGGCTGCCAGAGCCAGCAGGCCAGGAAGGTGGGGGCCAGCCCAGGCCCTGCTGGCACCACCACCTGCCCGCCGGCGGTCCCACTGGCACTGGTCCCCACCCCAGCCCAAGTAGCACTGGCAGTGGAAGTGTGTCTGCAGGTGGTTGAGGTCGGCCCAGCTGAGCTTCCCCTCGGGCTGCAGCTGCGGTTCACCAGGTGCGCGGCCGGGCACTAGACGGAAGCTCTTGGCGCTGAGGTGCAGGAAGGTGCTGGCACTGGGATTGCGGCGCACGCAGCGCCCGTGGCCATGGCACTGGGCCCAGCTGCAATACTGGGTGGCCCAGGACACATTGACCACATAGGGGACCAGCAGCTGCGTCAGGTAATCCTTGAGGTACTGGCAGGTCTCCTGGGGGCAGAGGCCAGGAGTCACAGGTCAGGTCAGCTGCCTCAGTCCCCAGGCCCAGATGGAAATGGTGTCCACCCTATGCTGACTGGAGCCTTTGATTTTTTTTCTTTCTTTTTAAAATTTGCTATAGAGTATGTGTGCTCAACGGGGGAAAAGACAGAGAAAGTGAGAAATCACCCCACCGGGACAGATGGCCACACTGCAATCCCTTCTCCTCCATTGTCCTCTTAGGACTTTGGGGTACACACACCCAAGCAGATTTTCTTTTCTTTTCTTTTCTTTTTTTTTTTGGAGAGTTGTTTTTCGCTATAGGGCGCGTGCGCTCGCCAGACAGACAGAGAGAGACATAGAGACAGAAAGCGAGAAATCATCCCCCAGTGGGGATGGTCACGCCACAATCCCTTCTCCTCCATTCTCCTCTCGGGATCTTGGGCACGCATGCACACGCGCCCGGTGTGAGTTTTAAGCCACCGGGTCTGGGACTTGAACCACGGTCGACTACGTGGGAGTCCAGCGACATAGCCATTACGCTAACTGCTGGTTCCCAAGAGATTTTCTTTTTTTTTTTTAAAGAGAGAGATTTTTGCTATAGGGATGGCCACTCTGCAATGCTTCTCCTAGCACACACACCCTAGAGCAAAAAACTAAATAAAAAAATGGATGTGCAAGTGCACACACACGTACATGTGCCCAAACCCTCGGAGTCCCTGTTCCTGTGGAGAAAGGGTGGGGACAGAGACTGGTGCCCAGCTGGGCAGGCGGGAAGGGTGGACTCACAGCTGCTCCTGGTATTTCCTCTTTCCTGGCAGCAGGGTGGGGTGCCCTCCTTTGTCAGGGCCAGGGGGGTGCCTCGGGTGGGAGGCAGAGGGGCCCGACTAGTTTTGCCCACCTGAGGTTGGCAGCCGAAGGCCCAGGCTCTGCCTGGCCCTGCGTCAGGCCCTGCAGCATGGCTCTGCAGCTGGGAGGGCCTCACTTACCGTGCTTGTCGTGTACCCTGCGTCGCCCCAGAGGATGACGCCGGCTGCGCCCAGGGCTGCGCTCTCGCCGATGGTAGAGATGAGGTCCATCTGTGGGAGAATGGGAGGTCACTGGGGAAACTGAAAGCAGAGGGTGACGGGGACAGCAGGGCAGGCAAGCCCCACAGCCCAGCCCTCCTCTTCTCATATCCAGGCAAGGGGTCCACTGTGTCACTTTCTCCCTAAATAAGGAAGCCCATTCCAACCTCTTCAGGCCTCAGTTTCCCAAGTCAAGGGCACAGCCGGGCTTAGGGTATATCTATCAGGACGGACTCCAAAGCAGTAATACCTGGGTCCAGGGGCTGGAGGGTGGGCCCATGGTAAAATGGGACCCTCTGAGTCCGACCACATGGGAAGGTCCTAGGTCCATATTCAAAGACCTCCCTGAGTATGCCAGCCATGTGCGTGCCATGATCTGGGCTGGCTGAAGCTGGTGGTTTGTGGCATTAAGATCCTGCAGCAGGGGGGTGCTCTCTCAGCTTCTCACTCATGAATAGACTTAAAATGTTTTTTTTTTTTAGAAATGGGGCCAGCTCCATGGCACAGCAGTAATGTACTGTTCAAGAGAAGCTGTATGCCTTCTGATGACTGTGGTTCGAATCCCCAGCCTGGTCAGCACAAAACAGGTCAGGTATGCACCTGAGCACCCAGGATCCAATGCGCTGGAGGAAGGGGGTCACAGCACGATCAGACCATGTGGAAGGTGCACACACACTCTCTCTCACATGTATGTACACATTTTATCATGATTATAATTTTTTTAGAAAGATTTTTGCTATAGAGTGCATGTGCTTGCTGGAGAGACAGAGAGAGACAGAGAGACAGAAAGGCTCTCTGACTCTCTCATCCCCAGGGGGGATGGCCACACGGCAATCTCTTCTCCTCCAGTCTCTTGGGATTTGGGGCACACATGCACACACACCCAGGTGTGAGGTTTAAGCTGCCAGTCAGGGACGCAAATTGCTGTTGGCTTCATGGAAGTCCAATAACATAACCATTACACCATCTGCCGGTCCCCTTATTATTATTTTAAAAAATTTGCTATATGGCACATGCACTCACCAGAGACAGAGAAAGAGAAAAAGGAAAAGTGAGAAAGCAAGCCTCCAGGTCTGGGACTTGAACCATAGTTGGCCATGTGGGAGTCCAGCACCTTAACCACCATGTCACCTGCTGGCCCCAAGGTAAACTTTTTAGTATATCCGTGCCTCAGCTTCTAATCTGCAAAATGGGGGCAACCGTGCGACCCTTGCACGGTTACAGAGTGCGACCCAAGGGGAGGTGGGGCAGCCAACGATCTACATCTGTGTGTTCCTGGAAAGAGGAGGAAGGCGGGTCCTGAAAAGCACATACCTCGCTGAGTCCAGTGAGTCTGCGGCTATAGGTGGGCCTGGTGAAGACATAGACTGGCAGCGCATGGTTGGCGTGGTGGGTGTGAGCCACACGCAGGGCCTCCTGAACACGGAAGCTGACAAAATTGCGGCCATGGGCGGAGGAAGCGAGCGTCTCATCCAGGTAGACGGACGGGAAGAGAGCCGTGCTCTCAGCCCACAGCCAGGCCAGCTGGTCGTTGCGGGCCACCTCCACGTCGGGGCAGCGGCCTGTGTAGCTCTCCCAGTTCTGCACGTAATCGTGATTGTAGCAGTCGGGGAAGAGGTAGAAGCCCCAGAGGTGCTGGGGCCGCACGGCCTTGACATAGCGCAGTGTTTCCAGCATGAACCATCGCGCAGCGAACTCAAACTCATACTGCGCCTGCTTGACCACGCGGTCAGTGGGCCAGTCCGGGTGACGGCTGGTCACCAGCTGGCGCGAGGCCTGGCGGTACACGTCCTTGTCCTGCCAGTTGCGCACCCACACAGGCCGCCAGTCCTCCCAGTCGATGACGGCCAGCCCCGCCGGCTCCTGGGTGCGAATGTAGTGCTCCACGCGCTTCTGCAGCATCTTCAGGTGCTCCCAGCGGCTTCCGTTCTGCGGCACGCCGCCATGCACAGACCTCCCCGCTGAATCGAAGCGTGGATACAGGCCTAGGCGATCACGGTAGAAGATAGTAATGTTCTGGTTCACAAACCCCTCATTAGGTGAGGCCTGCACATCAAAGGCACTCAGGTCCAGGGGCACCTTGAGGCGGGGGCCGCAGTCCTGGGTGGGCACATCCCACGCTACCACAAAGGGCCGGCCCGTGAAGATGGGTGGCGTTGTGGGCTTCAGTTCCATGGCCCATGCCACCGCCAGCACCAGGGCCAGTGTGATGGTGGGGCCTGGGCCTGCGCGCATGCTGGGGACTGCAGGAAGTGTCACCTGCCTGGCACCAGCTCAGGAACTGGAAGAAGGGTGGAGAAAGAACAAGTCAGTCTAGAGAACCCTAGAGGTGCCCACCTCAGGCCCAGCTAGTGGGCACAGTGTGCAGTGCTGTGTCCTTGGCGGCTCAGACCATAAGTGGCTATAAGAGGTTTGAGATCACAGGCCTCTGAAGGGCAGGGAGACGCACCAGGGGCTCCCTGCCAGGAGCATGGGCTCCTTCCTGGAGCAAGGAGCCCATGACTGAGCAAGAATCTGTTAGGTCTGTGATCCTTCTGAGAAGTGGATGAAGTGGGCTCTGACCGGCTGCCAGAGCCACAAACATCCCTGTATTCCTTCCAGTACACGTTTCAGAAAGCCCTGAACCCCTGAGGCCCAGCCCATACCCAAGAAGAACCCAGAGAAACGATTTAGATAAGGCAGGGCACACCTCCTACAAAGGCCAGGAAACTGGAAGGAACACAGCCGCGAAACTCCACGAGTTTAACAGCCGCCCAGCAGCAGAGCGGGGCTGTCAGGACTTAGTCTCCTGCACACTCTCGCAGGCGTGGTGGAGGCCCGGCGGGGACAAAGGGGCAGCGGACCTCCCACGGCGGAGCCGGCCCACCGGCCTTTCTCTCCATAGCCGCCGGAAAGCGCGCGCACCCGCCCCTTGCCCCATCCCGCCTGCCC